GAGCTACCGCGTTCGGGTGAGTCCGGAGCGGGCCAGAGGGGAGCGTGCGGGGCGTCCTTTCTGCAGCCAGCGATGCTTGGGGACAGGGGCCTGGGCTGCCATGCGGGGGTGACTTGGACGGGGCGGCAGAATCCGACGTCCTGTCCCCTGGGGCCTGGCACTGGCCCGGAGTGGGCGTCTCTCGTGTGCTTGGCCACCGAGCCCGGGTCAGTCAGGCCGGCTGCTGTGTCTCCGGTGAATACAGCAGACTCCCGTGCTACAGGAGCAGGGGCGGGAAAGAGACTTCCTCTTGTCTTAATGCTTCGAACCGAGCGAGCATTTCACACTTCTCAGCACAGGGCTCTAAGTTCCTTCCAGGAGCGGTCTCAGTCTTCCGTGTGCGTGCGTATTTACTCCTTTGTTTTCTACACCGCAGCAAGCAGGCCTTGGCCACCGCTCCCTGCAACATACAGGTCCTCAGAGGCCTCGCGCCCCGCCCAGCCCAAGGCCCCTGCCCTTGTAGAGCGGACCTCAGCAAAGGCAGGTGGAGTGCTGGTAGGAGAACAGTGCTTGGCAGTTGAGGTTTGTTGGGGTTCAGGAGAGGGGAGGGCAGCGGTGATCTGGAGCAGAAGGTGCAGGGAGTAGAAACTAGGAACTTTGGGTCTGGGTGGCAGAAAGAGGAGGGGATTCCCGGGCAGGAGTAGGGGCTGAGTTAAGGTGGCTCAGGAAGGGAGGACAGGGTTCTCCAGGGCCCCATGCAGAGGCTGAGACCTCTGGGGGTGCCCGAGAGCCTGCCCGGGCCTGCAGCCGACCATACCCGAAGGAAGTCATTCAGAAAAGCTCAATGTGTTGGCTGATTTGACCTGGCAGGGAAAACTGAGAGATCCAGGGGCCGGAGAGAAAGCTGCAGGCTGTTCCTGTTGGAGGTTGTGGGTGAGGACAGATGGAAGGCTGCGAAGAGTGCAGAGTAACTTCTAGATTTCAGGCTTGGAAAGATGGGAGTGACACCAGGGAATGACGAAGCCCGTGTTGGATAATGAAGCCGTGCGTTGGACGTGTGTCTGTGTGCGAAGGCGGAGGGGCAGGAGGCCTGCTCAGGCGGGCAGCTCAGCTGCAGCCCACAGTGGGAAGCAGATGCCACAGGAAGTGCCCCTCGGGTGCAGAGCTGGCTCTCTCCGAGGCCTAGTGGGGGTGGAGGGGCGCTCCAGTGGCCCCTGGGCTCTTCTCACCGTCCAGCTGCAGGGGGCCCAGGCCCTCGTGGGAAACACGTGACTTCTATTCTCCATCTCCCCGGCCTCCCCTCTGTACCTCAGCGCCTCCCCACAGCCAAACTCCTGTACCCTGCTCAGCCAGGGAGGAAATCCCCCTGACTCCGCTCCCCCGGAAGTGTCCTCGCTGGCATGTTGGGCTTCTCATGAGGACACGGGCTGGCCTTTGGTGACGAAGGCAACTGAGGTGTGACCCAGCAGCCGGGGACGTGCGGCTGAAACACCTCTCCACAAGTCCAGCTTCGTGGAAGAGCTCACTTCCTCAATGACAGCAGACTCCTAAGTGACGGTGCGAGGGGTCGCAGCTGTCAGGGTGTCCTATGCAGTGTGTCATTCTGTGAGGCTGCACGTGTGGGTGGGTGCAGGGGCAGAGCCAGAGCCCGGTCTCCTGTTGCCCCTTTGGTGCTCTTCGTCTCGGCTCCTGTCCTGGCCTGCACTCTGTCCCTCACCGATCTTTTGAGATGTGAACCAACTTTTAAGAAATAAGATGCAAACTGTTAATGGACAGGAAGGAAGTACCGCACCAACTGCTTGCATCTGTGGGAAAAGCACACAGGAAGATTTCATCAGCGCTTGCTCCGCAGGGAGGACGACTCAGATCCCAGAGAGCAGAGCGGTCGTCTTCATGGTGGACAGACTTTGCAGGCACAAGTGGCCCCTGTTCCTCCTGGCCCACATCTGGGGACTGGTCCCCTCCCTGCGCGGCGTGGATTGTTCTGTTCCGAACACTAGGCGTGGGTGAATAAACCGGACCAGGGCTGACCCTGTCCCAGTGCGGGGCTCCCTCCTGGCGAGTGGAAGGAACGCACCGGTACGCTCTTTCCCGTGGTGCCGGGTGCCCTGGACACAGCTAAAGCCCCGTGAGCAGCGGCCCGGGGAGACCGATGGCTCTACTCCCGGGGACCCATTGACACCGGCACAGCGGCTCCTCGTTTTGTTGGGTTACATCTTTTCTCTGCAAGCTGGATTCTGGGGTTAGGTAGCCTTTCTAAAAGTGGCTCTCCTTTTGGCCTTGTGATGTGGGACCCATGACACTGTTGAGAGCACTGCACAAATCTTAGCACTTACGTTTGGGGAGCTTTCACTGAAGCTCAGGGTTTGAGCCCCCTGAGGGTCTGTCGGGAAGGTGACCCAGAAAACCATTCTCTCAGAGATGCCAAGCCAGGCATGGGATGGCGGTCCTGGTCCGGGAAAGTAGAGAGGTGGTGAAGTCCACTAAACGGTACCAGATGGTGATTTTCATTTCCACCTGGGGACTGTGTGGTGTGTTCTAAAAATATGGTAAATGTTGAAAGTTTGACAAAATGGGTTACAGTAACAGACACATGACTATGAACCCCTTTCAAAATCCCCCCTGTTGCTTAAAACACACTCATCCCAGGGTCCTTGCCACTCTCTGGAGTGCTCTGGAGTTCTCTTTCCTGAGGGTCTGTAGTTGTGCTGCTGTAGTTGCCTTAATGTCCTGATCGATTCAAAACATTTTCCTTTCATGCTCGTCTTGACCCCCCAGGGAAGAGCCGGAAGTTGCACGGCTCCCGGAGAATGAGGTGCATGAGGAGAGAGTGATGTTCCGTGCCCGCCTTCCGGTCGGATGGCGTTGGCAGCAGCAGTCACTGTATCTTTGATCACGGCTCATAAGGACAGGAAGGAGGATTTCCAGGCCCTTACCAGTTGCACTGTGAAGGCAGGAAGGACCTTGTAAGGCACCTGGGGGGGGATGGCATGTGGGAGGCGCGGGAGGAGCAGTCGGGGTGTGCAGTAGATCCAAGTGGGGTCCCGGGGCGGACATAGGAGGGAGGCCGAGGCTCCAAGCTCACCGTCCTGTTCTCCACAGAGACGTGCAGAGATAAGAGGCGCTTCCCGCACGGCCTGCTGGGTCTGCTGTCCACAGAGGACGCCTGGGGATGCGGGGCTCCCCCTGGATGTGCACACAGTGAAGCCGGCCAGGCTGGTGGTGTGGCTCAGACGTCTGTAGCCAGGGGCAGTGGCTTTCGGCTTCTTTTCTAAGTTATGGCCAATTGAGAGGGAAGCGTGTGTGTGTGTGTGTGTGTGTGTGTGTGTGTGTGTGTGTGCGGTGGGGGTTCTTTCAGATAAACCTGACAACCTGGCTTGACAGTGTTAGAGTTTCCTTCTCCATTTCCTTCCGGGAGAGCCCGTGAATGGGTTTTGCCAGAGTTTAGGGAAACCCGAGGTCTGAAACAGGTCTGATGTTCTTTGCTCTCCATCTCTGTCTCTCTCTCTGTCTTCTGTCTCTGCGTCGCTGTTTCTCGCTGTTTTCCTAGACGGGGTCTGGCCATGATGTCAGGCTGGCCTTGAACTCGCGGCGACCCTCCTGCCCTGTACATCACCACACCTGTCATTCTCTTCCAACTTTTATTCCCGGGGATGCGAGAGCCAAAGAAAGGCTCTTACAGAACAGCGACTTCAAACCCTTCATGTTGCAGTTGAGGAATCCGGGGCTCTGAGAAGTGGGGTAACTGTTCCTGAACCCCACAGTGGTAGCACTGTGTCTCCTACCCCATCTTGCTCGGCTTTCCTCGTTGTCCGCACTCAGTGTGCTGGTCCAGGGGTCTCTGGTTAAAAAGCTGTGTGTGCACTTTTGAAACATCAAAACGAAAACTTCCTACTAGTAGGAAAACTGCCTTGAGATAGTTCAGGGAAGGTAAGAGTGGAAGAGCAGCAAGGAGCCTGCAGCCGTCTGCTTTCCATTGCTATCACAAAATACTGGATGCTGAGTAAAACGCTGGTGCCTCGGTTCAATAACTTATTTCTTTCCGTGATTCCGGTGCAGACCAAGGTGGACGAGAACCGGATCTAAGTCAGTGGTTAGGTTCAACAGCGACCTGATGGGGAAATTCGGTTCAGCTCTTGTCCAGTTTAGTTTGGGACCAAAATCAAGGAAAGAATTAAGTCCCTCAACTGAGGCGAGAGGAGTTTGTTTGGCTCACCAGTGTGGAGGCCGGAGTCCCAGCCCTGGAAGCCCCTGGGTGGATCCTGGTGGACGGGGCCTTGCAGAGAGCGCGAGGCCACAGGGAGAGACGGGATAGGGGACGCTCCTGAGGGGCCCACGGTACTGCACTGAGCCCTCCCCGTGACCTGTCACTCCTACCGACACCCCAGCTTCACCGCTGGAGGCCCTGTGGGTGGTGCGGTTGTGAGCTGGGCCTGGCCTGTGCAGTGGGCATGGGCTGAACCCACCCGGGTTCACTCATCTTCGGGGCCCTGGGGGGGCCGTTTCCCCGCTGTGGCTCCTTCTCACCCCAACTTCTGATTGTTCTAAGGCCGTGCCAGCCCAGTCCTCCACACGACTATCCTGTCCCCATTTGACCTTGTGACCCTCAGCTCAGGGGGCCCAGCTGCTCCCTGCACCCCAGCTGCTTTGTCTGTGCAGACACTGGACTTTTGTCCTTTATGCAAAGGGACAGAGAGTCCAGGCTGGGTGACACCCAGGAGGGGACCTCCCCATCCTGAACAGCGTTGCCAAGTCATGTGGATGGATGGGGCTAGTGCAGGCTGTCTGTCATGTGTGGGCTGAAAGTGAGTGTCACCGTCAGCTCTTTGGAACCATGACATTTCCCGGAGAAATTGTGCTAGATTCAGGTTAGGGTGCGGCCTTGTCCTGGCCCCGGTCCTCTCCGGCAGCGCTGGCCTCCACAGCCCGCAGCATTTCTGACTGAGCCGGGTTTCCGGGACCACACAGGGGAGCTGCAGTGCTCCCTGGAAACAAGGGGGGCACAGTTGGGTCCAGTGCAGGAGGCGGGGTGGCATCCGCAGCCCGCGTGGGGTGTGGTGAGGGCACCGGGTGGTCCAGAGGAGCCTCCTGGAGTCCTTGAGGGGTCCCCAAAGGCCAGGTGGAAGCTTCCCGTCAGGGAATGGGCCGGCACAGGTGGGGACACCGCAAGAGAAAGGCCTGATTTCCCTGCGCTCCTGGTCCTGCAGAGCCTGCGGCGGATGCCTAGCTGCAGCCAGGCCAGCATGGTCCTCCCTCCCCTCAGGAGGCCTCCGGCTCAGCAGAGGGCACGGTGAGGAGTGCCTGTGTCGGGACCCAGGTCCAGAAGCACCCGAGAAGAGCTCCACGGGAGGACACAGGGAGAAGGGGTAGAACGCGAGCCGCGGCGAGGCTTGAAGGTGTCCGCCCAGGGTGGGGTGGGGAGATACCAGCCGGAGGGCTGGCTGCAAGCAGAGGCAGTGCGGAGCGGCCCTGAGGGACGGAGAGGTCCCCTCAGACAGCCGGACAGCAGGCCCGGAGCTGGAGGCGGTGACCGGCAGGCAGCTGTGGTGGGGAGGAACGTGGGCCGCACCGACCGAGCCCGGGACCCACCGTCTCCACGTGGCAGTGGAGGTTTCTGAGAATAACAAAGGTGGAGTGTTTCTTAATATCCTCTAGGAGAAAAGCTCTTCTGTGATACAGCCAAGACTGGCTGTGGAAGGAAAATACAAACGCTACGTGTATGCATAACCGGGCATGAAATGGGCGCCTATAAATGTGCTCCCACATTGCTGCCCGGCAGAATCCACTGCAAGGTCAGAGGTGGAGCCAGACTGGTGGCCAGTGGTGGATCTCTGAGGAGAAAGCTGGATTTAGAAGCTCACCCGGCCTTTCCCATTTGGAAGAAAGCCAGAAACTCAGTGAGTCAGGAATTCCGTCCGTGCTTAATGTTTTAACCACTGAAGCCTAAGGGAAAATGTGTCTTTTTATTCCTCTTAATAGTAACCTGCGAAAGCTCTGTGCATCTCCACAGTGTTCTGTACACTCTGACCACGTCTGAATAGTGACTGCTGAACAAGATGTAACTTGTTCTCAATAGTCTCTGTCATTGGAGAAAATACACACCTTTCTCAGGTGTGGTGACTTTTAACCATTAGATAGATATACGATCTAGCAAAAGCAACTGGGTGTGCACTCAGGAGGCTGAGGCAGGAGGATTGCCGTGAGGTCCAGGCCAGCCTGGGCTACCTACTGAGGTCAAGGCCAACCTGAACTATATAGTGAGACTCTGGCTGAAAAAACAAAATCCAGGCCAACCAACCGACAAGCCAGTTTTCGGCTTTACATATCTATTTGCCAAAAACCAAAATACTGTGCCTGACAAAATGGATATGGTTTAGCTCTTGTTTATTCTGTCCTCTTAGGATCTCAAAGGCTTCTAGTCTCCTGCTAAAAATGAGGCTGTTTTGTCATTTTTTTTTCTTTAAATGGAAGCATCGGGTCGAGAGTAAGGGAGGACAAACAGAACTTTCTCTTCTTTTTCTCTTCATTTTCTTTTCTTTCCTTTTTAAAAATAGTGGTACTGAGGATTGAACCCAGGGCTATATCCCAAACCCCTTTTTAATTGTTTTATTAAGAAGCATGGTCTTGCTAAGTTGTTAAGTTGCCTAGCTTGGGCTCAAACTTCAGAATCCTCCTGCCTCAGCCTCCCAGAGTGCTGGGTTTATACACAATGCACCACTGTGCTGGTCCTTTTCTAGGTCTTTTTGTCCACACTCATTTTTTTCACTGTTGCATTCTCTGAAATGTCAAAGACAATACAAGCCAATTTGGGGGAAAATTCAAACAGTATGGAAGGTAGAAAGTGAAACATCTCTTCTCGGGGGATCCACACCATTAGCAGTGCGTTTGTGTTTTCACATCTGCCTTTGCACACACATCCCTGTGGGTCGGTGAGGGCCACCCGGTGTTGCTGTTCTTCACTCTGAGTTTTCTCGCGGGTGGATCAGGCCGTGAACACCCGCAGCACTTGGGCAGCAAGGAGCCCAGGGAGCCGGCACATGTGGGGGACAGAGGCCCATCTGACCGGTGCCTCTCTCCTTTCTGACATGGCCTTCAGGACATGTGTTCTGACCCAATGAGGAGACTGGGAAGGAATTTTTGATCTGCAAATAAAACATCTCAAAAGTACACGACGCTGGAGCTAATGCCTGGTGAGAATGCTCCAGGGCCCCAGCCCCCTGGCACGGCACCGTGGGGAGCTCACAGGAGCGCCCGTCCCCGATCACCTGGCGCTGGACTCTGCCCAGCCCCTCCAGCCGTTGCAGAGGTGAGGTTTGGAGATACGTCCGCCCGCGTGGAAGCGAGGGAGCCGTCACCTCGAAAACAAAGAGAGCCTGTTCCAACACCCAGTCTTACGTCACTTATCTCTTATGCAAACGACAAGAAGTTGCAAAGTTTTGGGAAGAAATAGTAAAAGGCTGAGACTTCAAGTGTCCTGCCGCCGGGCCCCGTCTGGGGACAGGGACGTTTTGGGGAGGAAACGTTCAGAACAGACCATTCTGTGAGCAAAACAGAGGATAAGGGAGCGGGATGAGGAGCCGCATTCTGGGAATGTCCACGTGCAGGGGAGAGGGGCACTGGGCCAGAGCGTGTCACACGTTTCCAGACCTCCCTCGGAAAACGGAAGCGTCCTCCTGCCTACGGAGGGGGGAGGGACAGGACAGCAGGAGCAGTGCAGGTGCCTGCTCCTCCCTGTAGAGCTGCTCGGTCTCTACACACACTCAGGAACCTCTGTGGGGAAAGCTGATGTGCTTCTTTCTCGTCACAGGTAGTGGATGCTGATCGAAAACATGTTTTTCTACATCTATGGTCTATGTCTTTATAACAGTCTTCTCAAGATGTAATTTCCCTACCATAAAATTTACCCTTTAGTATACAATCGAGCAGTTTATTTATCTATTTGTTTTTTTTATTTGTTTGTTTTTTTTGAGGCAGGGTTTCACTACGTAGCCTGGCTGCCCTCAACCTTCTGGGGATCCTCCCGCCTCAGCCTCCCAAGTGCTGGGATTTCAGGTGTGCTCCACTGTGCCTTGCACTTGGTGGTTTTATTGTATTCACAAAGTGGTGCACGCAGCACCATTGTCTGCTTTGGAGGCCGGGTCCGCCCTCTGGCAGGCTGTTGCCACCCCTACCCCTTTCCGGCTTGGTGTTCTCTGCGTGGCTTTGCCTGAGTGTCTGTGCCGGCTCCTTTCACCTCCACTGTGTGTGTGGACTGAGTCGTTCTGTCCACCCACCGCGGAGCAGAGGGCGTGGAACCCTGGCGTGTGAGGAGTCTGTCCGAGAGCTGCTGTGATTTCTACCCTGCTTTCCTCTGGCAGGAAGGGGCGGCGAAGGAGCCTGGACTTTCTTCCATCTGCAGGCGCTTGAATTAGGTCTCAAGCAAGTGCACACAACTGCAGCCCAAAGAGTGCTGTTGAGCGCTTCTGCCTGGAGAAAGAGGTCCCTGTGCGGGTGCAGTGGGGTGTGCGGCCCTCCCGGGCCCAGGCTTCTGTTGGCCTGGCCCTTGGCAATGGCTTGGTTCTCTTGCTTACTCTGGGGAGCACAAGCAGCATGGTCGTTACCCAGGCATCTGGCAGCAGGAAGTGGGGAAGGGGAAGCAGGAACCGGAAGCAGGAACAGGAAGTAGGAGGGGGAAGCGGGGACCAGAGGCAGGAAGCAGGAGCGGGAAGCGGGAAGCCGGAAGGGCTCCCTGCCTGGCTGCCTGGGCTCCCACAGGGCCGTCCCAGTTGATGTCCTCTTCAGTCTTGTGGTGCTCCTGGCATCAAAGGTGGCCGGAAATGGTGTTTTTTCAGTGGGGCATTTCAGAGAATCTATAAACAGGCAGGGAAGCCCCAGCCTCTAGCTTTGTCCCCTCGGAGCTCCTGGGTTAGGACGGCCAGGGGTAAAGGCGAGTCACCAGGCGGGCTGGACACGGCACACAGGGCCACAGCCGTCCCTGGGCCTCTGCGCACTTGCAGGCGGACAGTGTTGAAAATGATGAGTGAAGAAGACGCACCAATGGCCCTGGCATACGAACCTCAACGCCATCAAGGAGGAGAGTGCAAAGCAGAGCCCTGCGAGACACACCCGCGCCTGTAGGGCAGCCAGGACAGAGAGGCAGCAGTTTAGCTGGAGTGTGGAGAGGGAGGGTGACTTGGCACAAGCACAACGGAGAGCGGGGTAGAGGTTCTTCCAAAATTAGAGCAAGTCAGCCTAAGGATGGCGCACATTTGTAACTTCAGCTTCTTTGGAGGCTGAGGCCGAAGGACCACAAGTTCAAGACCAGCCTGGGCAACTTCAGGGGACCCTGCCTCAGGAGATAGAGTGACGAGAGGCATTCATTGGTGGGGACTTGCCTAAATGGGCAAGGCCCTGGCTCAGTCCTCTGTACCAAAACAAACAAAAACTGGGCTGCTATACACCCTAGTAGTCTTTCTTCCGGATAACCCAAAGGAAATGAAATTGGCCTCTCGGCGGTACCTGCAGCCCTGTGCTCACTGCAGCATTATCCGAGGAGCCAGAACACAGGCACAGCTGAAGAGTTCACGGGTGGACAGATGGATGGAGAGGGTGTGCGTGGAACATCGCTCAGTCCTTGCAGTGTCATGGGAGGCCCGCGCCGCCTCCCAGGATGCCCTCGCTCTGCTCACCTCACTGTTCCGCACGCCAGCCTGCTTGGTCTGTTCCTTCCTTAAACTCCCACCCGTCCTCAACTTCTCTTTCCTCTTTTGCTAAAGTCTTGAATTCAAAACACCAAAACCAAGGCGCCGTGCTCCCTGGCTGGCTTCCTCACTCAGATGGAGTTCTTTCCCACCTGGCAGCTGCTTTTACTCCTCAACTCCCGTGAGCCAGCGGTTCGAGCCAGCAGTTACCAGGTGCCAGTGGATCTTTTCCAGGCCTCTGCTAGCAGCCTCCGCCTAAGAGGCTTGGGTCTCTGTGACGCCTACCGTTCTGTGCCCCTCTGTCTTCCACAACTGTACTTCATTTCTGGCTTTTGTGACTTCTGTGGACTCTTCTTTGTCTACTCTTTAAATGCTGAGTGATACCGCTTGACCTTTTGTCTATGGCCCCCAGAGGAGTTGGAACGGACCATCTCAGGGCCCCTTAAGCTTGGCTGTGTTATCTGGAGTTAGAATTCATGGGGCGAAGGAGGGTCTTTGGCCCCCATGGCCTCCAGATCACACACCGGGCAGGTAGAGTCCTAGAGGGCTGGGATGGTTGAATTTTCCACAGTACTGAACTTCTACAAGGACATCATGTTTGATTTGACCCAGCCAATGTTTTGGCTTTTTTCAAGAAAGCTTACTTAAATGGCAGCCACAGTTTTCATGTGTAACTTAATTATATATATATGGCTAGTCAAGATTTCAGATTGCTTGCTGAAAGCGGGGTTCAATTTGGTAACCAGGGGCAGCAGTGAAATTCAAGGGGTTTCGAATCTCTAAAGGGGGTAGGGTGCAGACACTTCTGAGTATCGGAAAGGGGGGAGTTTGGCGGGGCTGCTGACACCTGTCCTCTTTGTGGAAGTATTTGCTGGCGCCCCCTTTGGGGGTGAACAACTTCCTGCAGTGTTTAATATGATCAACTCTTCCAGGTTCAAGGAACCCAAGGCGGAGTCGGACTTGTGCGAGTGGGGGCAGTGGGATACTTCTTTAATCTTTGAGGCCTTCAGAATGGAGAAGCAGGGTCACAGCAAACAAAAGACATCCCGTTTTAAGTGGATCCCGGGTTCTCAGGAGAGACCTTACTGCCTCCGTTAACGTTGGATTCCGTCCCCAGCTTTACTGATAGGAAGACAAAACGTAATCATCCCGGTCATTCGCGAGGTCATGGGAGCGATTCACTAAGCTGCGGCAACGCTTGGGCCACAGCAAGAAGC